CTGAGAGGCTATGGGGCCTGCTCTGTTAGGCTCCTTAGAATGAGTGCAGCTGAGAACCTGCTAGAGTGCTCCTTGTCATCCACTGATTGGAGCAATAGGAGATGCTTAGGTATTGGATTTGCATATATTGGGCTGCAGATGTTTTACCTTTTTGCCATGTGGGCTTTCACACTTGGACTGTTTTTATTTGAGCATCTCTTCCTTAGGTCCCTGCCACTGCCTCATGTGTGACTGAAACCTAGAAAATCAGTGGGTTTAGCCCATAGGCAGCCAGATACCTAGGAGCTGTGCCTCCAAATGCCTGGGAAGCCCTGCAGGTCTGATCTGACAGTGCATCCTCTTGAGGCTGTGCTCACAGGAGCTGACCCTGATCTACCCTCTCCACAGCCTCCTGGAAGGAACTTGCTTACACAGACCCTGTTACTCTTGCTAGGAGGGTAAGCAAGCTGGTTCCAGGTTTGCTTTCTTTGCCTCTCAGCGTGCAGCCCAAGCCACAGCAGTACCAAAGCCTCCCCCATAGTGAACAGTTCTCCCTTCACTCACTGCCACTCCCAGTTGCTTCTGGAAAAAGCTGGACTGTAAGGCAGAAAAGACACAGATCCTGACTTGCAGGAACTTTAGAGTGGAGGCATCCCTCTTTGTGGTGTAGCTGGGACATGTGAGCATGTGACAGACGCTTGACCCAGTGTTGTCACGCCAGTCTCAGTACCACCCATTTAGGTTATTAGGAGAGTATCTGTGAGCTCTTTCAGGAGGTAGTGGTCCAGGCACGTTCCTGGAGAACACAGTGCCAGGTACTAAGCAGTCAAGGATAGGGCAGCTTGCAGTGAGGGGAGACACTCCTGTTTGAGGAGTTAGAGCTACTCATTTTTTTAGTTCAACATGCCTCCATTAGCAGAGCTCCCACTTTGCTAGGCCTTGGAATCCCCAGAAGAGTAGGGCAGAGATGGTCTGGGCAGGGCACGAGGAGAGGCAGGAAGAGTCTCTCCCAACCCAGCATGTGGGTTGGGGTGAGGATCTTCAAGGGACTCCAAGTCTGATATATCCCAAGAAGCCTAGGCATGCATGTTTAGATAGATATATTTCTATCTGTTTTATCTTTACATTTTCATTAGGTTTTAAAAAGTTAAGCAAGAAAATCATGCTCATTCTAACAAATTGCAACCACCACTGGAGATAACTGGAGTCGAGCAGTGGTACTCTTTCCTCTAGTCCCACCCCCCTGGCCACCACATCCCAGGCTTGAGGTGTGGGGCCCTGAAGCTGGAAGGAACAGTGGATGAGCTGGGGGAATAATATACTTGTGGCAAATAAACATTCTAGCCAGCTCCTGCCTCTGTCAGAGGTGGCTCTGCTGGGCCCACTAGCAGGAAATTTTCTTCTCACGGGCCCAACATGGCACATTCCTGGACTGTGACTTAGACCCTGAGGCCAGATCATCTCCCTGAGTCATCATTTCCCACTCTCCAGAGGTCAGCTAACAGAACCCCTTACTCAGACCTGTTCTTTGCTCAACCCCGAGTGGGGCACCTGCTGTCTACATTCCCATGCTCACTGACTGCGATGGTGACTTGACCCCATGACCTGCCTGGGTGTGAGCAGGAGGGGAGACTCGGGCCTGGGCCTGGGGAAGACCTGTCTCATACCAGGGAAGGCATTGGGAATTGTCATAGGTGCCCTACTCAGCAGCTCAGCCCTCTAGCCCTCCAGCCCCCAGACCAACTTTCTGCCCCCACCTCTCCACTGCCTTACCTAGATGAACCCAAATTGCTGCCTCTGGCCTCCAGGTGGAACAGTGCAACAGAGAGGGGCCTCTGGGTAGGAGTGAAACCTGGGAGGGTTTGGTTGATAAGAAAGACTCTCCCAAGGGGGTGAAGTACAGGGTGTGGCTGAGGCCTAGTAGGAACTGGCTAAGAAAGAGAGAGGAACATTTGAGAGCAGGGCAGGAAGAACAGTACCCTAGAGACTTGGGTGGCAGGGCTGACAGAATGCAGGAGGGTCAAGTGTTAGTGGCAGGTCACCCCACAGCTGCATCTGGAGTCTCTGCCTGTGCTCCAGCTTCCTAGGCCCATGTCCTTCTCAACACACCCTTTTGGTCCCTTACATCTTTCCTAACTTAACTGGGCCTCCCTTTCCCAGAGCAGACCCTGGGGAATGTGACTTTAGGATTTCTAGGGAGCTGGGGTGGATGTCAGCCTGGGTGTCCACATTCACTTCGGAGCCCTGGTCCATGAAAGCTGGGCTGAAGTGGAGGTGTAAGCCTTTGGGGAGGCTGGGCTGGCTGGAACAGAGGGGAGTGACCTGTTCTGCCCCACAGGCTGAGGAGGAGCTCATCAAAGCCCAGAAGGTGTTTGAGGAGATGAATGTGGACCTGCAGGAGGAGCTGCCATCCTTGTGGAATAGGTGAGGCTGGCAAGGGGAGCTCCAGGTGCTCATCATAGTTGGGTGAGGCAGGCCCAGAGTGCTGCACCTGTGCGGCCCTCTATCCCCAACATCTGGATGTCTCAGGTGTGTCTGTGTGTTAGAGCAGGTGTGTGAGTGGGCAGCCCTGTGTAGAGAAGGTGTAAGGTGTTCCTCTGAGCTGGCTGAGTGGCTCTTCTGGTTGCATGTATGTGTGGGTGTCCAGTATGGTGACAGTGCCCCTCTGAGCGGCCATGTGACTCTCCAGGATCAGATGTACACTCACCGTGCCCTTCTTCCTCCTTTTTTCTGTAGCCGCGTGGGTTTCTATGTCAACACGTTTCAGAGCATTGCAGGCCTGGAGGAAAACTTCCACAAGGAGATGAGTAAGGTAGGCACTGGCAATGGTCCTTGTAGACCTCTGGATCTCTATGTTACATCTACTCTGGCCAAGGGTCTGGGGTCAGAAGGCATGGAAGTATGGGTGGGCACCATTGCCCTCAAGAACTGCCCATTCTCCTTGAAGGTCAGCACACACTAGTATCCTCACACCCTTCTGGACCTGAGAAAGAGAGATTTACCCTACCTTCAAGGAACCCACACTCCATAGAATGCTTGGCCCAGTGGAAACTGTCCCATGTCTAGCCTGGTCCCTTGCCTCTCCCAGTCTTCCTCTCCCCTCTGGACTGATGGTGAGAAGGTGAAAGCCAGCCCCTCTGATTGTAACTATGTTCTCATGGGACCTTGGACCAGGGAGCTTAGTGCCAGAAAATTGCAGTTTCTCAATTTGTTCTAAGAAAGTTGATAGCATTTTCTCAATTTTCAATTGCTCCTTAAAATGTTGACATAAGCCTGCTGTGTCTGTCAAAACTTGCTGAAGTAAAAAGGGTTCTGATTCATTTAAACTCCTATACGGCATTATTTTCATTTTAGCTTGACTTAGTTAAATGAAGAAGTCATATTGGAGACACCCAGTGTTGACAGCTCCCTCTTCCATGCAGGGTCTGTCATTTAGGTCCGATGAATTAAGTGGTGATGGTTGGGTTCCAGACCAAGGGGCAGGAGGAGGAAAAACCAGCTTGGGATCTCTCCTGATTTACCACCTTGAGTGTGGTTTCCTGCCTTTTAGGTCTTCCCTTTCTTTCCTACCTTTCCTCCGTTCCTTCAAAGACTTGAGACAACTTATGGGCAGTTTAAGAAATAAACAGAAAGGTATTACTGGAAATAAATATTTATATAAAGTTAGTCCATTTCACAAAGCACAGTGTTTACAAATAGGAGGAAAATTCAGCTCTGAGCTTCTTACTGGCCAACTGAAGAGGGAAATTTCTCATTACTGAGAGTCATATATACCTGGGATAAACCCTCGTCTCTTGGCTGTGCTTTGGCTGAAATTGCTGGCAGTTGTGGTGTGGCCTAAAAGTATTTTTGTAAAACAATAATTAGGGTCAGCAATTGATCTTTGAAGACTTTTTAAATTTCAGAATAGTACAAGCTTTAAGTGGCATTATAGAAAATGCCAAATAGAAAAAAGAGAACAGATGGTCCCCAGAAGCAATAGCTATTTGTAATGGCCTACCTTGCTGTGTTTTTCCCTGTATATTTGTGGGTTTGGGGTACTATGACTGATGGGAAGGAAAAGGTTGTTCCTGGTGGGGACAGGGGCCCAAGAGCATCTGGTGGGGAATAAGCAGTGGTGTTTTGAGGATGAAGCAGTTGGTGGCCTTGCATGCCCCCACCTTCTGCTGTCACTCCCTGCAGCTCAACCAGAACCTCAACGACGTGCTGGTCAGCCTGGAGAAGCAGCATGGGAGCAACACCTTCACAGTCAAGGCCCAGCCCAGGTGGGTGGGCATGGAGCAGATACGGTCTGGGGATTCATGCCAACTGGGTGTGAGGCTGGGCAGGCCTTGTTCCTGAGTGGGCTGGTCTTGGGAGTGTGGGGAGCTTTCTGGTTGGTCTCTCTGTGCTCAGGGAAGCAGGTGAGGGTGGCCACTGTCCTCCATCTCCAGTTCTCAAGTTCTCAGCTGTGCTCCATGGGAGGATCTCTCCCTGGGGTATGTCTGCAGGTCATCTGGGCCTGTGGGCCTCACATTCTCACTGGTGGAGCAGGAGCAGCAAAGGTGGGATAGAGAGTCTTGCTTTGCAGGTGGGAGACACTCACAGATGTGGAACCTTCCAGAAAGTGAGCTGTCATTTCAAAGTCAGGCAACAGGGCCACCTTTTCTCTCTCGTAGCTTCTGGGAAAGCCTAAGCCCCTTGTTGATGACATTCCCTATACCTGTGAAAACGCCCTGTCCCAGCTACAGAAGAGACTCTTGTTTCCTGAGGAGAAACCATGAGTGGGGAGGGGATGAATTCCTTGCTCTTTGCTGGCTATGGGTTGTGGGAAACAATAGCAGCATCAGGAATTTTGGCTGTGTGTGTTTGTAAGTGTGCATGCCCATGTGTGTGTGTGTGTGTGTGTGTGTGTACACTCTTATCTGTCTGCGCAAATGTGCTCATGTGACATCACTGTGTAACCGTCTTGGGTTATGTGGGACAATTGCTTGGGACAAAAGATTCATGACTATTATTGCCCCTCCTCCTCCCTTAAAAAGAAAATATATGTGGCTGAGGAGGGGACCCTCAGGGTGCCCCAATGGCTAAAAGAGTGCTAGGGAGTGGGTTCTCAAGGTCAGTGCTGGTAGGTGTATTATTGTTCCCTTGCTCAGCTTGGGTTACAGTGGGCATGTGCACACTGGGTAAGGAAGATGGTGAGTGGCAGTTGTTCTGGCAGTACAAGACCTAGAGAGAGCTGTTGGGAGGTCTAGTTTTGTCTGTGGGCAGCTTCTTGGGTTCTGGCACTTCTGGGAAAGTACCTGGGGCCTAGAAGAAGGAGCAGAAATGGAGGCTCCTGATCCCAAGGTAGCTTGCACCTGGCTATTTTCTCTCCCAGGTTTCCTACTGGTGACCAGCCCCCATCCCTTCCTGACACATGACCCACTGAAGTTCCTGTAGGTGGGACCATAGGTCCCCCACTTCTCGAGCCCAGCTCTGACTTGGTGCTGACCATCTTCCTGTCAGCACCACCTGAGGGCACCCATTACTGGACTGCATCTGCATGCTCCCTAACAGGCCAAAGGCAAGGCTGGACCTTTTCATGGCCTCTGGAGTTTGGGGAAGGTTTTGCCCCTTCGCCCTCCTCTGAGCAGAGAGGTTGCTGGTTGGGGAAGGTGACAGTCCAGCCGACATCCAACATTTCCTCATAATGAAGGCCTGCACACTCCATTCATCCCACAGAAAGAAAAATAAACTGTTCTCCAGGCTGATCAGGAAGAAGAACAGGTACCAGTAGCTGAGTGCTGCATTGTGGTGGCCTGTCTGGCCCCTGTGCATGCGCTTGATGCCCTACTCTGAGGGCACAACTAACCTGCAACCACCATTTGTGTAGGGCTGCACTTGGTAGGATCGTGCAGGAGGGGCATCCAACAATGCTGCTGCCCCAGGGGTGGACTGTGTGTGATGTGTGCTGGGAGGGTGGGTTGGATTGGGGATTACTGAGTGGGAGTGAGGAAAAAGGAAGGCATAATCTGAGCAACTGGTTATCAAATAATCAAATTTGCAAATACATTATGTGACCATGGTGTGTCCACTATGCTGGGACCAAGAGTAGTATTTGCAGATATGTGAGGAAGAAGGCTTAGGGAAAGGAATACTGAGGCAACATTGTTTTAAAAATTGTTTGTGTGCGTGTGTCCTATATTAATATGTTTGTGTATACTTATATATATACATTTCCATGAAAACCACATTCATAAAAGACAAACAGGAATACAGTGATGTTCCCCCCATATCCGTCCCATCTATCTAGTTCCCACCCATCTCAGTGGGTAACCTTATTGCTGGCTTCCTTTGTATCTTTCTCTGCCTGCACTTTCCCACATGGTAGCTAGTAGCTGCATTAAGTACTTGAACTGTGATTAGTGTGACTGGGGAGCTGAATTTTTAATTCATTGGAAGTGATTTAAATGTTAAAAGCCACTTGTGGCTGGTGGCTACTAATATTGGGCAGCACTGTTCTAGCGTTTCTTTGTGAAAGTACACAGAGCTTGTCATTCTTTGTACTTTTTATACAAAAGTGCCCATCATGCACACCTCTGGCCCTTGTCTTTGGCACTAAGCATTGTGAATTTTCCCACTTGACCCTCTAATTGCCTGCCCATGCTAGAAGGCACCAGACCATGATCACTTTGGGGGGGGCTCCAACTTTTCATCAGGCAAAGGGAATAATGAGGCACAAGTAGGTAGAGGACCAATGTAAGGGCTGTGGGTGCAAAACTGCAGAGCACAGTCACAGTGGGCACAGGGGGGCTCCATGTGTGAGCATGGGAGGCCAGCCCTGCCTTAAGTTGTGCTAGGGTGTGGGGCCTGTCCTGAGCAAAGGATGCTGTGTGGAGGTGTATGATAGAACTCATTGCTCTCTAGGATGTCTGGTTTCCACTACAGACCAAAGTGACTGGGCTGGCCTTTGGTGGTGGTTCCCAGGGACTTTCCCCAATTCCCTGGGGCCCTCAGGCCTCCAACTCTATTCTGTCATATGCTGTCACTGCTGCTAAGGCAGGACTTTGATGTGGCTGTATGGAGTCTCACACTGTGTTCCTTCATTTCCCCTCACACAAACACACACACAACTTTACATGGCATCAACACAGGTGTACATAGAACTTCACACATCGGTACATGGGGTATACACCCCCACACATGTATACACAGCTTTATACTTGGACACACTCACACATCTGTACATCTATCTTCACACATGGGTATATGAGATGCATGCTTATGTATTACTGATGTTAAGTGCCGTCAAGTTGGTTCAGACTCATAGCAACCCTGTATAGGTTTTCTGAGGCTCTAAATTTTTGTGGGATCAGAAGGCCTTATCTCCTCCCTTGGAGCAGCTGGTAGGCTCAAAACACTGACTTTGTGGCTCACAGTCCAGGACTTTTCCCAGAGCCACTGCACAAATCAAAGATGGGCACACACTCAAGATGTGAGCACACATAATTTTATATGTATACACTCCTGGTATGGCACTGTTAGCCTGTTAACTGGACTGTGAACCACAAGATTAGTGAATCAAACCTATCAGCCCCTCCTGGGAAAGCCTATATAGCGTTTCTGTGAATCAGAACCAACTGGATGACACTTAAAACAACAACAGCAACAACAACATACACTCACATGTACATACACACTATTATATGTGCACCCACTGTATATTCACAGTTATGCACATGTGCACACACGTTTCACGAGTGGACTTCCATGGGTACACATTCATATGGATGTATATATAACCCAACCCACCTCTGTAGAGTCGATTCTGACTCACAATGACCTCATAAGACAGAGTAGAACTGCTCCTTAGGGTTTTGAGGCTATAAATCTTTTTAGGAAGCAGAGAGCCACATCCTTCTTTGGAGGAGCAGCTGGTGGGTTCAAACCGCTGACCTTCCAGTTAGTGGACCAACCCTTAGCTCACTGCACAACAGGATTCCTTACATGCATGTGTATATATATGTATGTGTGTATGCTCCTCTGAAACCCTATCCAGGGTCGCTTTGGGTCGAAACTGACCCAATGGCACTTAACAACAACAACATGCATGTATATACACAATATACATGCATGTTGTTGTTGTTAAGTGCCGTCGAGTCGATTCTGGTGCATAGCGACCCTGGATAGGGTTTCCAAGAAGCGACTGGTGAGCTTGAACCACCAACATTGCAGTTCAAACTGCTTCACAGTCTGGCGCATTAACCCACAGAGCCACACCAGGACTCCTATACATGTATATGTATGTGTAAATGTATGTACATATCATTTGTGTGTGTCTATGCAGGTTAATGCACCAGACTGCAAAGCCACTTGAACTGCAAGGTTGGCGGTTCAAGCTCACCAGCTGCTCTTTAGTAACCCTATACAGGGTCGCTATGGGTTGGAACTGACTCAAAGGCACTTCACAACAACAACAATATATATATACATATATACATACATATATATATATATTGCTGTTGTTAAATGTCATTAAGTCAGTTCTGACTCATAACAACTCTGTATAGGGTTTCCAAGGAATGGCTGGTGGGTTTAAACCTACCGTGTGTATGCGGATGTATAAGTATATATATACTTGTGTGTGTTTGTGTATATTGTTGTTGTTGTTAAGTGCCATTGAGTTGGTTCCAGTTCACAGTCTTGTGCTTATTTACGGTGCCACACCAGGACTTGTGTGTGTGTGTGTGTGTGTGTATATATATACATATATATGTGTATATATGAATATATATATGAAAAAAATGCCATCAAGTTGGTTCTGACCCAGAGTGACACTGTATAGGGTTTCCTAGGAGCAGCTGGTGAGCTTGAACTGCCAACCTTGTGGTTCAAACCAACTTGGCAGTCCAGCGCATTAATTAACCCACAGTGCCATACCAGGACGCATATACATACATATACATACATGTACATGTATGTATACACACACACACACACACACACACACATATATTGTTAAGTTCCGTTGAGTCGGTTCCGACCCATAGTGACTCTATATAGAGTTTCCGAGGAGTGACTGGTGAGCTTGAAACACCAACCTTGACATTCAAATCGACTTTGCAGTCCTGTGCATTAACCCACAGTGCCACACCAGGACTCCTTACACATATATATGTGTGTACATATATACACACACATATAATATATGGTAGGTTCAAACTCAGTAGCCACTCCTCGGAAACCCTGTATAGGGCGCTGTAATTCAGAACTGACTTGATGACACTTCACAACAGCAGCATACACACACACACACACACACACACACACACACGGTGCTGCAGGATAAGCACTGGACTGCTAGCTACAAGATCGCTGTTCAGGCCCACCAGCCAGCCATTGAGTTAGTTCCGACTCACAGCCACCCCTGTATAGGGTTTCCAAGGAGCAGCTGGTGAGTTTGAACCACTGATCTTGGGATTTACACTGACGTTGTGGTCCAGTGCTTCATCCCACAGTGCCACCCCAGGACTCCACACACACATATATATTCCTATATATACCTTTGTCCACATACACACACACCTTAACATGCATACCTGCAGATTCACACTTCCCCTCTTAAGCCGTTCTCCGTTGGGTATCCTCCTGTTTTGCCTTTACAGTGATAACACCGCTACCAAAGGGAACAAGAGCCCTTCACCTCCACCAGATGGCTCCCCTGCTGCCACCCCAGACATCAGAGTCAACCATGAGCAAGAGCAAGCTGGCATGACTGAGCCTGGGGCCACTCTCCCTAAGTCCCCATCTCAGGTAGGCATGGTATCTCAACAGCCTGTCACTCTTATTCTTCCCTGTCCCCCTATCTTGCCATAGTTCCCCCTCCCTCTCAGTGCTCTATCCTGGCCTAGGCTTAAGCAGGTTTTGCCCAGCAGACACTATCTCCCTTGGGCCTACTAGTTCAAGCCAATTTCAGTGGCCCCCTCCAAGGGACATCTGTGATTGTCCTCTCCCCCGTGTCCCCACACTGCTCCACTATGGCACCTTCTCCTCTCCTGCCTCCCTGACTTCTAGCTGCTTGACTCCTTCTCCATCTCCGTTTCCCTTTAATAGAGGCTCTGGGCCCCCAGGCCCCTGGAGCACCTGGACTCTTTGGAGTTGACTATCTTCCTGCTTCCTCACCTCTCTTTTGTAGGAACTGAGGGAGGGTCCCTAACTTAGTGGTATTGTAGGACAGGAAGGATTCCGGCAGGGAGTGCAAGGTGGCCGATGCAGGCAGTCCCTAGACTTCTGGACTGACCCCTCCTAGAGAAATCCTCCTCATATCATTTCTTCCCCAAACTAGAATTTTCTATATGTCTACTGAGCACTGAGGAGGTCCTGGCATCTACTGTGCAGCCTGCTCTGAGCTCTGGACTCCTAGCAACAGCTTTTTTGGTTCTGTTTTGCTGTTCCATTTTGTAACTGGTTGTGGTACAGAGCTGAGCACAGCAAGAGATCGCACCCATGGGTAGCACTTCCTTTGTATGGACACTGTGCCAGTACTCTGAACATTTATACTCACTGACTCTGAACATTTACAGTCACTGCTATCCCCTGCATTATCCAAAAAGGAAACCTGCATCTAGTGGGTGGTGGTATGGCCAGGGTTTGGCCCCTGCAAGCTCCACAGGTGACTGACCCAAATAAGGTGCTGGACACAGGAGAGAAGGGAGAGTCTACTGGAAGAGTGGAGGGGCATGGTGGGTGGCTGAGGCTCAGGCCTTGTCTCAACTACTATTTCTTTCCCAATGCCTCCCTGAGTGAACAGAAGCCAAGATGCAGTGTTTGCCACAGTCTGGGCTGCCTCCTCCCCACCTCATCCTAGCTTGTCTTGCCTTCCTTTCTCTTCTCTCTTTTCTCTCTCTTCTCTTCTCCCTTTCGTTCTCATCAGCGTTTCCAGGGCACCTACCGCAGCTTCTTCAGGGTAGCACTGTGGTCCTGGGGTCTGTGACTCTGCATTTCTTTGTCTTCTCTTGCTGCCTAGATGGGGCCATGACCTGGGTGTGACTAATTATGACTTTGTCTGTCTGTCCTACCCCCAACTCCACTTCATTCTTGTGCTCCTCACCTGTTGCCAACCCACAGCTCCGGAAAGGCCCACCAGTCCCTCCACCTCCCAAACATACCCCGTCCAAGGAGGTCAAGCAGGAGCAGATCCTCAGCCTGTTTGATGACACATTTGTCCCTGAGATCAGCGTGACCACCCCCTCCCAGGTCAGCCGCAGCTGCTGCGGCCCAGATCCTCCTCCTGCTCGATGTGCACGGCCTCATGCTCCATCCCACTCCTGTGCCTGTCTCAATAGTCTGGAATCTAGCAGAGATGGGCCCTGAGCCAGTCTCATTCTTGTCCATCCTCCTTCTATCCCGACTCCATTTCTGAGCATGTTCTATGACAAACACATGGTGAAAGTTGTCCACCCTACCCTTAGAGAGGAGACAGTCAGGCCAACGATGGTTTCACAGTGTGACAGGCTATAGCACAATGGTCGAGAATTATGGGAAAACAGGGATTGGGGACAATTAGGAAATGCTCCCAAAGCTGGTAGATAAGAGTAGAGAGAGAGCTTTAAACACAGAGAAGAATCTGTTTATAGACCTGGAAGGATGAGAGACGGATTCAGGAAGTCGTGGTTGTTCAGATAGATCATGCCATTGTGGATAATAGTGAGAGACAGTTGCAGGACCACAGTTGGGAAAACTTTGGGGGCCTAGGCCTTACCTCCTGGAGCTGCTGACAGAAGCTTAAGTGGTGAAAATGACTGGATTACAGAGCAGAGTTGTGGACTGGAAATGTCCTAAGAAGACAATTGATAACCTATTTCACAGATGGACAAAAAGAGGACCCAAGAAGGGGAGAGGCATTTGTGGTAGAGTCCCATCTGTTAGCACTAGGATGGGCTGATATGTTATCAGTGTTTACTTGAAAGGGGGTGCATCTTGGCAGCCTCCCAGTCAGTTGACCCTTAAGTGAGTGACTCTTAGACTGGTTCTGTCGATCCCAGTACCTCCATCTGTGGGCAAATCAGAACCTTATCCAAACCTCTCCGTTCTATGGAGCTTGGACATGGGACCTGAGTGTCAGGGATGGTGAAGCCCCTGCCTGGAGCTGGACTTGAGAGCTGGCTTAGAAATTGTTCATGAGCCTGGAGGTCTGGGGGAAGGGAAGAAGCCTTAGGAACTGAGTACAGTGGTCTGTGCTGCTAGGTTTCCAGGAGAAGCCCTTTAAATACAGAATACTAGGTGGTGGGTGGGTGGGCAGTGACTTGGCTTAGGGGTCTTAGAGGACCCTGAGTCTCCCTCTATAAGGTGGCAGAGGCAACGTTGGAATGGAGTAGAATTGCCTGTAAGGCTGCTTGCTGCTGTCCCCCTCCCTCAGCCAGCCTGCCTCTGCCCCAAGGTGCCAGTAAGTGTGCAGATGAGGGGAGGGGATGATATGAATGCTAGCAAACACTTACCCTGTGTGACTGTGTTTGGTTTTAACTGCCTCTGGAAGTGGGTCATTGTTCCCATTTAATGAGTTGGAAACTGGAGTTAGACACGCACCTCCCATGTGACAGCACAAGTGTCAGGCAGGGCTGGATAAGGTCATGTGTACTGGGCCCCGCATACTCACCACATGGCTCCTGGGCTGCTCCCCCTCATCCATCTCAGGGCCTGGGTCTCTGCCCTGTCACTGGGTTCTGTGCATGGGGTCGGGCTCATCCTTCCCTGGTGGCACTGCTCATGTGGACTCTGCCTAGGATGGTGAGTAGCCTGAGATTCTACATGTCCTGCTCTTTGGACTGATGACTGTCCCTTTCCAGCATGACTAGGAGCATCAATCTGGGTGTGGGCACTTCTTCTTGGAAGCAGGGTTGGTAGCAGAGGCAGGGTAGTAGACGACCTGGGGAGAGAAGCTGGGTGCTCCTGCACTGTGAATGTTCATGCCCTTAGAGATAGCTGGGCCATGGTGGCAGAGTAATAACCTTGGTCCAGGCTCACCAGACCTGAAGGGAAGTTAATTTCTAGAAGTCAGACTGGGATAGGGGCTTGAGATCTGGGCTCTCCTAGCTCAGGGAAATGAGTCCCTTTGGTCTGGGCTCCTGAGCTTTGAAACTCAGTCCAGCATGGGACCTGACACCTTGTTTCCTATATTTTCAGAACTGATGCTCCCCAACAGCTTTGAAGACCCCTCAGGGAGCCTGTCCCATAACCCCAGGATTCAGGCCCTTTAATTGAAGTGGACATGGGTCAGGGCTGGGTACCTGCCAAGAGTGAAATGGAGTGGGCTGGTCTAAAGGCTATGGGGCTGGGGCTGTCAGATCTCTTCAACTTCTCATTCTTTAAATTTGTGCCTCACTTGGCACTACTGAGAATAGGCCAAAGAATCCTGGCTCAAACCTGGTCTCTCTCTGTTGGACCTGGGCCAAGCCTCCTTAGGCGACATGGATTAAGGGTCCCAAGATTAAGCAGTCCTCCTCTTTGGAAGGCATTTTGTGCTGCACCCATCCTCTGCCACCCGCTGGCTCTGGACAGGGCCCATTCTTAGGGGTGTCTGGGAAAGACCCTTTCTCTGACGATGCATCTCACAGTGGGTTTCTACCAGATAGCCAGAATCACCATGTCAGAAATGGGAGTATCCGAGGGAAGCAATGGTGGGAATGAGTTGGGGTAAGCTAGGAGTTGTGATTTGAAGTTTGAAGACAGGTGCCACATAGTTCTGTAGCCTGTGGCATTTGGGCCACACACTTTGAAGATGGGCTTCTTAGGCAACATGCTTTGGTTCAGCCTTTGCTTACTTATGCAGCTAACTGGGATGCACCCCTCCCGAGGATACTCTTTCTGCATGGGGTGATGGGTGAAAGCCAGCAAAAGTCCCTATCCTAACCAGCCTGCTGCTGTGGCTTGGGGCTGCTTGCTGTGGGTTGGGGCAGGGGCTCTTAGACAAGGCACTGACATGGGACCACTACCCTGCATGGGGTGCTTGGCATTGAGTCTGCTGGGGTGGCTGTCCCAGAGGAAGGAGCTTGCTAGAGCAGGTATCTAGGGAGCTCCACGTGGCATTACATCACTGGGAGGATGGGAGTCTGTGCACTGTGTGGCCTTCCACAGTGCTCTTGTGTGTGTCTACCATGTCTGTGTGTACTCTGGTGCCTGCCATTCCATGTACCCAGCCTCTGTTACTAACTGTCTTCCTCCTCTGCCACTGCTGCCAAGTTTGAGGCCCCAGGGCCCTTCTCAGAGCAGGCCAGTCTGCTGGACCTGGACTTCAACCCCCTCCCGCCTGTGGCCAGCCCTGTGAAAGCGCCCACACCTTCTGGTCAGGTTGGTCTAGGCCCATTGCCCCCAAGCCCTCCCAGCTCAAATCTGCCTACCAACCATCCAGGCTCAGGTTGTGTGGTTTCAGGGTCACTAAGTTGCCCCTCCTCACACTTCCCTGAGTGCCCTGACATTGCCCCTTGTCAGCCTGCTCCTGTCCTGGCCATGGAACAGGAAGGAAGTAGAGACCAGCCTGGGAGGGTTCTGAGGAGGAGGGGCTTGCATGAGGTACTCCCCACTTGCATCATGTAGGATCCTGGGAGGTGTCCAGTACTTGGCCATTTGGAAGCCTTAGTGCCTAGTCTGTCTGTGCTGCCATGCTTGCTGGGGTGGAAGGTCTTGGGGCAGGTTGAGGGAGGGTGGTAACTGGGGACAACTTACTTTCTTTCTCTCTAACCTTTGTACTAACTCTGTCCTTCTTCCCCACACTGTTATGCTTAGCCAATCCCGTGGGACCTCTGGGAGGTAAGCCTGTGTTTGTTTTATGCAGGGCCCACCTGCCCATCCTCTACTGGCCCAGGACATGCATACATGATACATACACACCCAAACACATGGCAGCCTTCCTAGCCAACTGCTCATCTTCCCTCTTTCATTGAGATACTAATCCTCAGCCAGGGCCTATAAGAGGGTTCTGTGACCTAGCATGAAGAAAAGGTTCTCCATAGCACAAGCTACAGTATCAGACCTGCAAGTCTGATCTCCTGGAGGGATGCGGGCAGGCTAAGCCTAAGAGGAGACAGGACTGAGGGTAAAAGGTTTTGTATCAGTTGGGAGAGCCTACAGGCATCAAGGGCTGAGGAGAGAAGGGGTGGCATGGGAAAAGCAAGAAAGAGTGAGGCTGAGATGCCCTTTGGAAGGAGAGCTGGCCTGGCAGGTGGAGATCCATTTCATGTAGAGCAGCAACTTCATCAGCTGACAGCTAACGAATTGGAGGCACAAGAAAAGGTCACGTACTACTGAGGGTGAGGCCTTGGTTCTTAGTCTTCTGCTTGCACATTGGCCAGACCACTGTGGTCACACCTAGGCCTGCCTTCCCCAAGCTCTGTGGAGTTTGCTGGTCTCAGAGGCTTCAGACCAAATAATGCTGACACCTTGGGGCTGCAAGGAGGCCATCCTTCCAGCAAAAGCTCTCTTGGGCCCTTGGGTAGTGAACTTTCATTCCTCACTGTATCATGAGAACCCACACTTAGCTTTAGGGAAGAGGATTCCACCCTGGCTGCTGCTCAGGTTATGGACTTGGAAGGCTGAGGCCATTGGTCATGAACAGGAGCAGGAAGCGCTGGAAGTGCATGTTTAAAGTGGCACCACAATCATGATAATGCTGCACAGTGGAATAAAAACGAAGCCTAAGAAGGTCTTGGTGTGAGATGGCAGGGCCATTGTGGAATTTGGGGCTGGCTGTGTACAGCAGCCATGCCTGTCTGTCCCTCTGTGGTGGCAGAAAGGAAGTGGACATCCCTTTGGGCATCACACCTGCCTTAGGCAGGGCCCCTTGTCCCTGTTGGCATTCATGCTTCTCTCCACCAGCACTGAGTGACTCATGACCTAAATGGGTTTTCTATCTCATGCTCCTGCCCAACACTTTCCCTGGTTTCTGCTTTCTCCTCCCTCATCTCTCCTTGTGGCCATCGCTAGCCTGTAAAGAGTCCTGCTAGCAACCTGCCTTCTGGGGAGCCCAGTACAGCCAAGAACGCCTTTGTTATGTCCTGGCCCGGCCAGATAGCCAAGCCAGGGTTTGCTCAAGTAAGTGCAGCCCACACTCTCTGGCATGGCCCTGGTCTTCAGAAGTGTATCATATATGTGAGTCCAGAAAATGGACACAGAATGGGCAAAACTATTGTGGGCCTTAAGGGTTAGGGAAAGGCCTTGAGCTGGAGGCTCCAGGATGTCTTGTTTCTCAGGTTGGTGACCTGGCGTTCTGGGCAAGCTGCCTCAAAATTCTCTGGGGGCTGGTTCTAGATCAGCCCCTCCCACCCTAATACCCTGAGTAGCATTTAGAATACCTACTGGTGTATGCTGGGCACCTTCCAGAATTATCTCATATAAGCTTCATCATAAGTTGTGAGCTAGAACTAGACATTACCCCTTTGATAGATAAGGAGGAAACTAGGCAGGTTTATTAAGTAACTTGTCTGAGGTTCATTCCAGAGCTCAAGAGTGAGTGAATGTGAATGTTACCCCAGGCCAGCATGACTCTAACCTGCCCTGTGCCATACCATTCTTGTTCCTGGGGAAAGCTGAACATGTGACTGAGTTGTATGAACCGGTACAGGCATGTGCTACTGTCCCTGAGTGTGGGTCAAGGCTGGGCAGTGTTGAGTGGACTGGAGGAGGCTGGGGCTGGGAAGTTTTGAGCTTCAAGGCCAGGACCTACAGATGGTGGCCCTGGAAGGGGGGCAGGGTGGGCAGCATCTTGAGACCTGCACTTGTTTTCTCCATGGCACTTCACTTGGTCACTGTGCTTTTTCTCCAGCAGCTTCCTGAGGCCAGGCCTGACCTCTTCTCCAGGGGACTTCCTGGATTGGGTAGACCTCCACTTCCAACCAGAGCCTATGCCCTTGTCCTAGGACTCTGGAGTCTACCCTTCCCTGACCTAATTCTGTGGCCTGGCTGCAGTGTCCTGGCAATGTCTGACCCATGTGGCATTTATATTGCAGCCAGGAGAGGTCTCAGAGGTGGCAGGTGGGACCGAACCTGCTGCTGAAACCCAGGAACCCAGGGAGACGGCGGCAAGTGAAACAACATCTGTAAGACTCTAAGGGCTAAGGTCCTGTCTTTTGTCCCTGCTGTCTGTCTGTCTGCCTGGGGCTTTCCATGCAGTGCTTGTGCTTCTGGCCCAATTCTCAGCCCTATCCTGGAACTTAGAGGCAAGCTGGTCTGGCATCAGGCACAGCCCACTCTCCTCACTGCCTAGCCCTCTTATGCCCTCTCCTTCCCAAACCCACCCCCAGCCCTGCACTTTCTGTTTCCAGAGCTCCCTTCCAGCAGTCGTGGTGGAGAATTTCTCAGCAACTGTGAACGGTGCCATGGAGGGCAGCAGTGGGGTTGGGCGCTTGGACTTGCCCCCAGGATTTATGTTCAAGGTGAGCAGAGGGTGGGGTGCTTGCTCTGTGCCTTGCCCTTCTCCATACCCTGGGAGGCAGATCACTCCTTTTACAGTTCGCACACTGAGCTTGGGGAGGTGATGTGGTTGGCCCAATCATACAGCTGCTTATAGCCAAATTGGGACATAATCTCTGGACCTGTGGCTGCTGTGCTTCTCCCCACCACACCTAATTACTCCACAGTTCCGTATACCACAAACCTGGTGCATTGTGAACGTTTGGAGATGGTACCTTTGAGGGAGAGATGAAATGGAGGTCCTTGTCCCCTACTACAACCACACCCCTAATCTCTGTAGGTACAGGCCCAACATGATTACACAGCTACTGACACCGATGAGCTTCAGTTGAAAGCTGGTGATGTGGTGCTGGTGATCCCCTTCCAGAACCCTGAGGAGCAGGTGAGGGCTTGGAGGGTTCTCAAGGGACTGCAAGCTGCTAGCAAAGACTCCATCTTTGCTAGCAAAGACTTACTTGCTGGAGGTGGAAGCTGGTGGTAATGGGATGGACCAGCAGGGGGCAGTATAGGCCTGACAGTGAAGGTTCAACCAGCTTAGGCCAAACTTCTCTCCATCTCCTAGTTTCTGTTTTTGTTCCTTTCCTCTTCTCTCATCTTAACTTTTCCTCCCTAAGCCCCTCCTTTTTCTGCCACCCATGGGCTACTTCCCCTCTATAGTTACATTTCCTCCTTTGTTTGCTCCATCTTCCTACCTTACCTCTGCTCATGTCTCAGGATTTCCTTCCTTTGTTCTTGGGTGTCTCTCTGCTTTTCTTTATGCCACTGCTGACTTAACCCAGGCTCTCTACCTATCTTCCTGTGTTCTGTACCTGAATTTCTTTCTCCTCTACTCTCCTCTCTGCCTTGTGCCATCCTCCCAAGGCCTGCCTTCCTCCCAGGACAGGGCTTCTATGTCTAGTCACTGTCTGTGTGAATCCCTACTCTGACTGGACTGGCTCTTTGTCCACGTGTCATGTGGTTCCCTGCCAGTGGGGACAAGACCCCTTTGGCCCCTGAGTGATCCCAATGGGGTTCCCAAATGCCTTCTAGACTCTTTTCCTTCTGCTAAACTTTCTCCTCTTTTCTGAGTGTTCTCAAAGTGAGGTCTGTTGCTGAGTCAAGATCTGGATGTGGTGCTTTGTTCATATAGCCACAGACATCAGCATAAGTCGCACTGTTGGTGTAGTGTGAACCTGTGGTGTCTGGATTGTTTGTGGGGTGTGTTGGGATTGTTTGTGGGGCATGATGATAGCAAATGAACTTCCAATTTAGTTTCCTGAGCACCTGCTGAGCATGGCACAGGAGCCCTGCTTGGATTCTGTTTTCAGAGAATTCATTCAGTCATCAACATGTTAGTCATCAAAATGAGCTTAGGTGAAGGATCTGGCTGGGTCAATCTGGGCAAAGGATGCTGGGCTGAGATGTGTGGGACACAGGAAGGAGAGGCATGAGTAACAAGAGTTTCTTGAATCTATTGCTGAATCACCCATTTCTTCTAAATCCACAGATCACCACTGGTCTCCCCAATGGGTGAGGCTTCAAAGAGCAGAATCCTGGCTACCAATCCACAGTGGAAGTCATCCAGGGATAGATGGACAGGGCTCAGATCAGGGTCTGTGACAAGACAGATAATGACAAAGACCCATGTAGGTTCCAGGTCCAGTTGGTGTAGCCCATATGAAACATATATGGGCTGTAGGGCAGGGGTTTATGGCTATTGTGGTCCCAGGGTTTGAGCAGAAGACACCCCTTAGGTGTCAGTTTTGAAGCCAAGCCCAATTTCACACTGTTGTAGGGTTTGTATGATAACTTCAAGTCACTCTAGACACTCTTAACTGGTCAAAGCTCACTAGAACTTTCTGGTATTGTTTATAGAAAGCCTGGAAGGGCTGCAGGACTTTTCAGGGGCTTGTTCTCTGTGGGTACCAGATGGTGGAATCTCCTTGGTGTGGTGCAAGGGTGTTGTTGAGGCAATGTCAGACCTACATGACAGGCAACAAGGTCATAACCAGCCAGGCACAACAAGAGAAAATCATCTGCCAAGGGTAGGATGACTTGGGCCTGGTGGGTTTTGTCCTAGGCACCTACTTCAGGTAGGCTCACCAGACTCAGATCAGATGAATAGGTAGTGAGAAGCGCACCATCATCCTAGCAGATCTCAGATGAGGTGCACATACTGTGGCATGTACCCTTTTATATTCCCCCTGCCCCCTCTCCTTGATGTGATCTGGGTGCTTGCCCCTTTTCAGGATGAAGGCTGGCTGATGGGCATCAAGGAGAGTGACTGGAACCAGCACAAAGAAGTGGAGAAATGCCAGGGTGTCTTCCCCGAGAACTTCACCGAGCGAGTCCAATGAGGCAGCCCATGCACTCTGGGCATACAAGATCCACCTTTTCCTGAGAATGTGTGTCTTTTTGTTTTTGTTTTTAAACTTTGACAAGCAAAGAGGGACTTGAAAGGAGAGCACAAAGCCGAGAACTGCTCTCCTGAAGGCTAGGCTGTTTCCTGAGAACGATGTGGCAATCTGATAGAACTCACCAGTGTTTCTGAAGATGCTGTGTCGTGTAATTGAGTTCCCTGTGCTGCCACCTGGGCTATTGCCCGCATGTGTGCCTGGCCAGCTGCTTGGCACGCAGGGCTGGTCCTGGGCCTCTCACTGGACTGACTGCTGAGTTGTCATGCTTGCCTGAAGCTTCGGCCACACCTCTGAACACAGGCCCTCCTGTCTTGGCAGTTGCTGTGAGAGCCCAGTCTGTCCAGAAGCTGTGGGGTCTGATATCAGCCCACCTGGCCTTGCCCTGCAGACATCTGTGTGCTGTTTGAAATAAATCTAAGTGTTCAAAAGAAAAAGAAACAAACAAGCAAACAAAAAAATCTGACAGAAATACTCAGAAAGTTCTTGCTTATCTTTATTCTCCCTCATCTATCAGCAAGGGCAAATGGAGCATGGTTATTTGTGACTTTTGTATTGGAACAACTGGCAGGGTAAGAGGTGGCACAGGCTAGGTGTGAGAACTTGCAGGAGTAACAGTAAACAATGCAATGGGACCTCTTTCTTTCAGTGACTGCAGCATTCAGAACTGCTCTGTGACAAGGTCAACTAACAGAGGGGACAGGGCTTCCAGAAAGAGGGAGGCAGAGCTAGTGGTCAGCAGTCTCACTGATCAATACACATCCAGCCAGCTGCATTGGAACCACTTTCTTTTGAATCTGTCTTGGTCCTAACATGACCGAAAGGTTTATCTCTGTCTGCTGGCATCTTACTAGTATCTGGGTAGAAGGCAGGTGAGAGGAATTGGTGGGGAATGGAGGGTGAAAGATGAGTGATTTGAAAAGCGAACTATGCCAGTAATCCACTAAATGGTGCCTTGGGTGAGACCTTTGGGAGTTAGGTACCAGAACTTCCATTTCACAGATGTGCAAACTGAAGCACAGGGAAGGCCATTGACTTACTAGTAAGGGTGGAACAGGAACTTAAACCTATGCAGTTTGACTTCAGACTGAGTCCTGAGGGCTGGTACTCAGGGAGAGTGTGTCAGCCCAGGGGTCACTCTTCTTCTCTCGGCCTTTATCACTGCCTAGGTCACCACTGTGACAGCCCCAGACTCTCCTGCTCCCATCAGAGTTGTGCTGGGCCTAACAATCTGCTATTATATATGGCAGCTGACCTGAATTGGACCCAGACCTGTGGGGCTGACAAGTCAACTTAGACTACAAGTGGTATAAGTGTATCACTACGTGAATCAGTAATGCAGTAGAAATAAGTGAATAAGTAGGTCAGAATAATAGCTGTATTTTTGGGCTTTGCTTTAAGGAGCAGCATCCTAGTGGGTCCCTGTCTAACAGTGTTGCTGCCAATTGCAATATCTTTTTTTCCTTCTTCTTCTTCTTCTTAAAGTTTTTATTGTGGATTGAGTGAAAGTTTACAGAGCAGATCATTAGTTTTACACTCAACAAATCATACAAGTTGTTTCATCACAGTGATTACAATCCCTTCCATGTACCATCTGTTAACAGTATCTCTCTCTATTCACTTTAGCTTTTTTTTTAAACACTCAGGCATATATAATAATTTACACCTCCAAAGGGTGCATTCTGCAAGTCTGCCTCCTGGCCACTATCTCTTAGTCCCTTATTTCCCATGAATCTAGAGTCCTCAACTGCTTCCACTCTCCATGTCCCCATCTCTGATGTTGCTGCTTCTCTGGATAAGGTCCTGCATTCCGCTTGTGCTCTTCTCCCTTGATGATCCTAGGATCCTTTGTTTCTGAACTGTGAGATAAACTGTTCCCCCCTTTTTGTTACAAAACTTCTACCTTTACAATTGTGACAGTCGCAATTAGTCATGATAACAATTACTCACTATTGAATCATAAGAATCTTATCCCCATCTCTTTTAACCAGACCCATCTAGACAAGATAAAAACTACTCAGTGGGGACTCTTTCTTCCCCCATACACTCTTAAACTAAACTCCCTCTTGAAACTGTGTAAACCAGTCACTTATTGTCTTTATTGCTCCCTCATTTTAGGTAGCCAATGTCTAAGTTGCCCATCCCTATCTATCCTGTGTACAGAGGGGGTAGCATTGATACTTGGTGTGAAGATTGCTTCCCTCTCTGTTGGTATTTAGAGTTACTACCTCTATGAGTATGGGTCAAGTTCATCAAATTGTAGCAATTTACCCTTGTTTTCCTTTATCAAAAATGGTTTTCTTTTTTTATCTTCCTCTAGTCGAGTTTTGATTATCAAGCCAATGAAGCTAGGTCAGATGGGTTCTATCTGCAACTTTGGGTGTTCTTGTGCATCTTCCCTCACTTCATATCAGCTGGATGCTTCACTCTCAGCTCTAGCTTTTTCTGTGGCTATGTCCTTGTCCATGGGCCCAGGTGTCCCCAGGTCTCACCATACCTTGGACCAACCAGTCCTTCCTCTTCTCTTTTTCATCTCCATGTCAACGGGAGTCTATGGACCGTGGTTGAACTCAGCCCATTTCTTCATTGCTGCCTTTCCCCCTCTTCCACTCACCAGTAGACCAATGTGGTTGCCAGCAAGCTTACATACCTGCTCATGTATTCCCTTTGATTTTCAGTCTTAGAGGGGGGTTTGTCCTGAAGAAACTTGATTGCTTGCCTTGATGGCTTCCCAGCAAACAACTTGCTTATTTTTGTAGTAGCCAGTCATGTTGCCATTTTTGTTTTGGGTTGTTCCTGATGATCTTTCTTTGAAGATTGTATCTTGTATTGCTCTGTTGCAGGCTGGTCTGCTTGTCCTTTCTAGTAGGAATGTCCCATCTTAGAAGGTTCTGGATGGGATTCAGGATTCCACCTAAGGTCCTATACCCTGCAAAAGCTTTACAAGAGGCCTATTACACTGGGCAAGTTCTAGAACCCCTTTTAGATGTTCCAGTTAGTTATAGGCTGAAGACTGGCTTACAAGTTTTCTGTAATCATGTTTCCTCACATTCCTTTCTATCCCACTCAAGTGTCTATTTTACAATAGTAGGCAAGGAAAACCAATATGCATAAGACAGTCAAGCATCTTAGTATTATTTCGCCTCTTCAAACTGTGCCTAGATCCCTGTATAACAGAGCCCTGTTGTTCCAAGGTTGAGCATGCATCACTATTTACCTCTGTCCCACTAAGCCCATGCAAACCTGTCTCATTGTTCCCCTATCTAACTTGTTCTTCCACCTCTTCCCCCTTCTTGTATTGCCTTCCCAAACACCCAAACTATGATGGTAGAGCACATTACCCTGTGCTCTACCATCGCTTCCCTCCACCTCCCCCTAAACCCGCCCACTCCATCCCCACTGTTGTGATTACCTTATATTCCATTAACTTTTCCCTCCATTTAAGACAGTCTATTTTATGTTGTAATCTACCTGACCTCAACACTTGGATCTCTGTTCCTCTGTGTTTACCTTCTTTCACATTGTAATTGTTTTGATTATAGACTGACCTCTCAGATTTCTGAATTTGTTCTTATAGTTTTATTCTGTTCTCAACTCTTCAATTTGTCAATTGAGTTCTAGGTGATGTTGCCACACACATCAATCTCTGGTTGTTGTCTCTTCTTGTTGGTTCTCAGTCCACAGAACTCCCTTTAGGATGTTTTTCATCACAGGGTTGGTTGACTTTGGCAAAATCCCTTAGCTTCTGTTTATCCTGGAATGTTTTGATTACACACTTGTATTTGATTGACATCTTTGCTGGGTAGAGGATTCTTGGTTGGCAGTTTTTTTATTTCAGGGTTTTATATATGTCTCCCCATTTCCTTCTTGCCTACATGATTTCTGTTGAGAGATCCGAGCTTAATCTTTTCCTTAGCTGCTTTCAGGATTCTGTCCTTATCTTTGATTTTGGAGACCTTGATTATGATATGTCTTGGTGATTTTCTTTCAGGGTCTATCCTTCCTGGGGTTCGTTGAACTTCTTGAATGTTTATCTTTTATAAAGCCTTTCAGGATTTTAGGGACATTTTCTTCCAGAAGCTCTTCAACTATCTCCAAATATCAGCATTCCAGAATGCTGATAATTCTTAAGTTATTTCTCTTCATGTTGTCCAACATGAATCTTAGACCTTCTTCAGATTTTTAAAAATCTTTTTTCCTGCTTGTTCTTCTATCTTAGTAGTATTGAGAGATTTATCTTCTAGCTCACTAGTTCTGGCTTCCATCTCTGCAATTCTACTCCTTTGCCCTTTCAGTGTATTGTCCATTTCTGATATTCTATGGTTAATCATTTGGACATCTTTCTGTAGGTTTGAATTGTTTCCAATTCTGTATCTATCTTATTTGATTGTGCCTGTAGCGCTTTCCTAACTTCTTCCATATTTTTATCAACTCCATTGTAAAGATTTTGATACATTTTATAATCATTTTTCTGAATTCCTTCTCAGGCATTTCCAAAGCCTTACCTCCTTCCAATATGGAGTGTAGGTCTACCTCCAGCTCATTTGTCTCAGTCACTGCATCTCATTTCTGGACATGTGCTGATATGGTCATCTGTTTTTGTTTCTTGGGCATAATCAGTAGTTAGCTGTGGCCTTAATATTTAAATGATTGTGTGTTTTGGGATTTTCTATGCTTTCTGACTGCCTCCAGGTAGATGTGATCAGGAGATGGGCTTCCCTTTTCACTCTTCTTCCTGAGACATTTCAAGATGCCACTGTTGTTCATTATGACATAATTCAGGATTTAATTTTCGGCCTATTTCATTTTTAGTCTGCCTGCCCGCTCCACAGTCACCGTACAGGCCTTTTTCCTAGTGATAAATAGTTTAGGGCTGGCTGTGGCCATTTTGTGCTGCCATTTGGTTTTAAGTGGAAACTGTCCCTTTACATTTTGAGATCTGT